GTCTCTCAGTTTTTGAGCTATCGATCTATATAGATGCTATACTAACTTTATTTTATTTGAAAATATATCTTCGCAAAATTCGGCATAGATCATTATCCAAGGTTATGCTACTCCTACGGGTATATTGTTCAGATCGGACCATTATAGCATAAAGCTGTCATACAAACTGATCGACGAAATCAAGATATTACAATATAAAAATATGGAAATGATTAATGTGGAAAGGGAACAAAGCTGTAAAATAAATTAAAGGGTCTGCTTTAGAATACCGTCCTACGATTTCGGAGATAAAATGGGTATGGGCGGATAGATTTTTTTGATTTAAAATATATTTTATACTTTTATTTTTCACTTTTGAATCCACTAACACTTCACTAATTCGTTTGTACACTTTTATTTCCCATTATATAGTGCAAAAATAACTTTAACTCAATATTTAACTTTTTGTCAAATTCTATTTATTTGCACAATAACAAAACGCTTGCATACTGACAAATAACCAGTGTTAACTGGTTAACTGCTAACCTTACAATGTTTAAGTTTTGCTCATTACTGTATGTTCATTTGTTTATATTTACGAAGTGGCAATGCTCAAGCGAATAACAGCATCACTGTTGAATGAATAATTTTATTGCTATTATATATGGTTTTAATGCCGCCGTCGGCGTTGTCAGAGCGTTAAGCCCATTTTGGTAAAGTAAGAAGAAAGCGAGCGGTAAAAACTGATCAAAACGTAAGAAATAAGCAAACGCTGCGTCGCACAAGCAAGAAATCACACTAACTTGTTACCAAAAATATTGTGCGCACGCGCCACACCACTGCTACTACAAAGCGAGTATTTATAAAGTGTGTACATATTTACATAATGTATGTACTTTAGGCCAGTGTGTGTGTTAAATATTTGTAATTATTTGCTGACTGTTTGACTGGCGCGACGCTTGACAGACAGGGTCGTTACTTGGCGGCGCGCCTCATCGCGACTACGCACTCAACGCTGACCGCCCGCATTGGTCCTCATCATGTCATTACAATTTGGTAAAAAATGCGAAAAAGCGTTAATTTGGTATTTTGTGGTGTTATTTTATTTGATTTTTGGTAAATTCCACAATTATATGTGATTAACGTTTGCTCAAATCGACATACTCGCAAATACATAAGTACATATGTATAAAAGTATGTCAATTAGGGGCATAACACTTCAGTGCGAAAGTTTGAAATTGGGTGAGTGTGTACATATGTATGTATGTATGTTACAAGGTCAAATCGGAAGTATTATCAATTAGCATATTTAAAATGATATTGTTGAAAAAACGTTCTTCCTACTTTCATTTAATTATACGTACTATATTAATCAGTAAGTCGCACACCCCTAATGTAGAAACAGAAACTGTTTGTCGACTGTGAGTCTTATGCTGTATGGGAAAGCGTGTGTGTGTGCGGAATTTGCGATTTGTGAGTACGCGCGTCGCGTTGAATTAGCGTCAAACGACTGACTGATGATGCGAGATGCAGCACAGTGGGACGATGCGGAAAAGTTTCGATACATTTTCAACTAATAAAACTAAAGTGAAATGCAGCAAAATAAACAAACTGAGGAAGCTTTCTTTAGAGCTGAGAAACTTTGCATTTTTAAAGAACAAACAGTGTATTTAAAAATATCAGTTATAAAGAGATATTCTTAAATCTCTAATATCTAAAAATATTATACTAATAAATTCAGAAAATTAAAAGAGATACATCGACAAAAATCAGCGACGTCGTGCCAGCTCCGTATATGCATTATGTAAAAAACATGCATGTCAACAGATATACACACTCGTAATAAAATGTAAATATACATTGATATAGTCACGACCAGGTTATTATTTTTTTTTCAATTTAAAAAATATGTCATGATTATTATTAATGCACATTAATTTATTTACTGCTTAAAAAGTTAGTCAATAAATGTTTATTTTTCATCTTATTTTATTTGTATTTTTGAAGAAGTTTGAAATCAATCCATAGCTAAATAGCAAAATATTTTCTGCAAACCAAAATATAGACATTTGCCTTCGTCTTATTGATGACCAAAAATGTGTACGCAACAACCACCAAGCAGAACTCAGCTGTTTCTGTTTACATAATTTTCTTCACCACACTTGTGGAGCTAAACGTTGCGCTTTAACGCTTTATATTTTATCAATATTGCCACAGAATAACAAAAAGTTTTCCACGTGATAAAAATCTTGCTAAATTGTCAATATTTTGTTAATTTGTCCAGTGCACGGAATAGGGTTGTTTATCTATAAAAAATGTAGTTATCATCTTTCATAAATCATCATATAATTAGTCATAAACAATTGAAACATTGAAAGTAAACTCAATTTTAAGCTTTCTAAAGCATAAAAGCTAACGAAAATCGTATTTGGGTGATTGTTTTACATATGTAAGTTTGGAAAAAGCACAAGTAAAGGGTTTCAAAAAACTTCATATTTCGATCGTGTTTCTTTACCTCACTATTAATTGTTTTTCCTTAAACGTCTACAGTTGATGACAGAAAGAAAAGTGTTCGTTGCCGCATGCCTCGAACCCATTCAGCTATAATGCTGTTGTAATGGTTTAGTGAGGAGTCTCCTGTAAAGGCATTACAAGCCTTCACTTCTGTGAAAAAGGGTTAAAACTGAGGCAAAAGTGTTCCAGCAGTATGTTTTAGAAGGCATGGTAAAGCAGTTAAGCAATAATCTCTTAGATCTAGAGCATTGGATCTTCCAGCAAGATTCTGCCCTAGCTTACAAGACAAAAACAAAAAAAAAGGAGATCTATTATTTCTCTTTAAAATAACTTAAAATCTTAAATTTTTTATAAAGTTAAGTCAGCCATCAACAATAATCAGTAGACAGGATAAAATGAAAGACCTAAGCGCCAACATGAATAAATTTGGAATGGATATTATTGGGTATACGATCTTGTCGATATATTCATTTCCATTTTCCATGACACAATTGTCTGGTTTCGAACCACGTCAGGATAACCACTTCTCTATATTCCGTATTTTTAAAACGATTAGTATAAGCAACACGAACTTTAAATTATTAGTAACATTTTTGGCAAAGAAGTCTACTCTCATAGATAAATTAGATAACATTCATTTGAGTATATTTTCTATATGCAAAAGTAATATTTTTCTACCTGATCATACTTAGACATACTGATTATTCTGTGCGCCAATAATTTCTATACTCAATATATCTTCTATATTTATATATATGTATAAAGTTGGATCATAATACTGGAATCATCATATATTCAATTAAAATTTAATCATTTAGTGAAATATTTAACGAAAAATATTTATTTCTTAACAGAAAGTGTTTAATATATCAAATTATTGCTAACTCGCAAACTAATTGAAAACAAAATTTCGTAGGAATATGTAATTTAATTGTTATTTTTTGATTAAAAAATCTTTTGTTTATTTGAAACGTAAACATTATTTTGCTTTCTAACTTCCTAAATTAATTTATTAATATCTATTTTTAAACACACATACCAAAGAAGACACTAGAACTCTCTAAATTATTAGAAGCATATTTTTTCTTACTAATTAATCTGGAAGTTTCTTGAGGATCGAAAAAACAATATTTATCTGCTAAAGAGCCCGCAACGATCACAATCATTTGTTCTTTAACCCAAAACACGCCGGTTTAGAAATAAATGCCAGAGTTGAGCATAACCGTTAGCTGTAAATATGTCGAACGGATATAGACTAGTCTTTTTTAACCATACCTTCAAATATACTATTAAATTTTTCATAGATGGTCGCTAATGCTGTTGAATTGCCTGCCATTGCTTAAATAGCGTCCTCTATAATTTGATCTATTATGTTGATAGCAATTTAAATTTAAGTTTTTCACCCATACGATCCCGGCGATAAGCGATAAGACTAATTAAATTTTTCGAGGGATTTATATCTATAACAGTGGAATTTTCGATATATGGTATTATGCTTTACCGATAACTACTAATTAGTTATGGTATTTCATTAGGGACTGCTTACCAGTAGAAATCAATACCGGTCGATGAAACAATAGTAGTAACTTCCCTTCCGAAATCTCACGTCACGTTTTATTCGGGCTCTGGGACAGCCAAAACAACCATGAATTACGTACCAGCCATATGAGAACCAATGAGGATGAACCCAGTGACATAGGCAGTTACAACAAAGGCACAAAATGATTTCGGATAATCGGAATATTATATATGGAAATCTTCTGTATTTGAAGAGATGTCCTTACAAACTTTTGTATCGATTATTTTCTAAGGCAACGCTACAAAATACACCAGTTTAAAGATTTTTATCTTGATGCAATAGTAGTCCGATTGGAACAATTTATTGGGATATTATATAATAATTCATGCCAAATTTTATTAAGATATCTCGTCCAATAGAAAATGTTTCCATACTAGAACATGAGTTTGATGGGTCAGTTTGTATGGCAGCTACATGCTATAGTTGTCCGACAAATGAGTAATACCTTGGAGAGAAAATGACGTGTGCAAAATTTCGGATTGATATCTCAAAAACCTGGGGGAATTGTTCACGTGTATACAGACAGACGGACGGACAGACAGAAAGGACATGGTTAAATCGACTCGCTGATCATTTATATATGGTATACACTTTATAGGGTCCCGACGTTTCTTGCTCGTGGTTGCAAACTTCTCGGCATACTTAATTATATCAATTTATTTTTTCATAATTCATTTTATTAACTGAAGTCTTTAAATATTTATTTTTTGTGTGTGTTTAATACGCTATAAGTAGCCGTATAAAGTCTTTGTCTGCGAAGACGCTTAAATATGCCACAAAAATATGTACGTATATGTATGTATACTCAGTGATAAGATTATAAAGTAAGTGGCACTGCGGTGAGCGCGTAATTTCAGATTAATCGCCAAGCGGCGACTCGGGACTTGTTTAACTTATCAATGGACAATGGGATGCGCTTATCACTTACCGATCTTTTAATTAAGAAATTATTTTTTACGCTGCACTTAAGATTTGTTCCTGCATTTGCTCCCATATATACGCTTACATATATGTACATAGTATGTGGCTTGTGTATACAGTAAGCACAGTATTGTTGTGTATGAATATTTTTTGTTGACACTGTATATGATGATTATAAACGTAAATTACTGTCTTTGGCTTTTCTGGTCTATTTTTTATTGCTTATTTGCGTTTCAAGGCGACGTTATGAATGATTTTCCAATTGACTGGGTTCAATAGTTTTTGTGCATTGGAATGACCCTTGACATCATATTTTAATTTTTGTTTGTTTATTGTTATTACTGAAGGTTTTTATTTGAAGTGGGAATTATTTACTTGTATAATGACTGCTGCTGCAAACATTTTAAATGCAACCTTTTAATTATACACCCTTTAAAATATTCCTACACATACTTATATATATAATATATACATATTTTATATAAACATCTGTGATATGTATCGGGTAACCAACTGAATCACTTTCTGCATATTAATATTTAAACCAATTTCTTATGCACAAACATACATACTTATGGACCTATTTTCGTATATATGTTTGTAGTAAATAACATGATAATTGTTGATTCTCCACCGAACCCGTTAGATTTCGCGTTCTTTATGGCTTCGGCGCGCTGACCGATGCAATATTTACATAATTCTTTCACTTTTCACTCTGCACTTACATACATGCAAATGTATGAGTGTGTAAATTTTGTTTTATATTTTAACTATGTTTTGTTATTTATCAATAAATGCAAGAAATACTGCTTCGAAGCAAACACAAAAATCACCACATCCGCTTAGCCGTCCGACAACAATTTGAAACACACCGTCAATCGTCAACGTTCCCCGTCGACTGGCGTCTGAGCGCGCCAGCCACACTCGGCGAGTCACAAGCGAAGGTAAACTACCGCGAGTAGCCGGCGTCGGCGTAGTGTCTTCTTCATGCAGTCGCTGGCGTCGCTGACGTCAACATTCGTGCGCGGCGTATTGTTTTTTAGCATTCATATGAATGTATGATATGTATGTATGCATGTATGTGTGTGTATACAGGTGTGTTTGTGTGCATATGTATACATTTGTATGTATTTATTTTAAATAACACAATTTTATTTACACACATATGTATGTATGCACTTAGCTACTATATAAGAGTCAATATGTATATGTTTTGTTATTGTTATTGCCGGCTGTTTTATGTCGTTTGCTGGCATGCTTGTTGTTTAGCCATAAGCATGTTTGGAATTTTAAAATCAACACCAATTTGAAAATAGCCAAAGCCTCGCTTTGAGAGACAAAATCACTAAATAAAACACAGATTCTTTAACGTGGTATTCCCGATATTTTGTGCGCTTACAAATACATGCATAAAATGCGTACATATGCATGTATGCACATATATATGTATTTATGTATATAGGTATGATATGTATATTTTCTACACCTAAAAACATTGGAACTTTTGATATACATTTTATCGGTTACGCTGAATTGAGTTACTAACTTTGCTAAGCTCGAATAAATTAATTAAATTTAATGACGCTCATTAAATGTTTATGTTTTTCACCAACAGACATGTATACATGTGTATAAATTTGTTTATATACTATCTAATAATATTTTAGAGATTCAAGAGATATTAAAAGCGTATACGTTATTTTCGCTTCAATAAAGGGGGTTATCTAGTTGCAAGTTAGAAAAACCGCGTTTTTGGCCCTTTTTTTTGTAGAGGAATATTTTTTAATAAACTAGAAGACTCGGCCACGAGTTTTTGTGGCTAAGGTATACCATCCATTAATATAATATATATTACAATACATTGTTCAATACAGTAAAAATATTCTTATGTATGCGAAAATCACCTGACAACAGAATCATGACTCCACCAAATATGTATTAGTTGTCGCGTAAATATTTTTAAGTCCTGTCCAATGCCTCCAGAGACCTCTTGTGATCCGTTTATCAATTTGCATATCTTCGTCATTGCGCTATTTTGTGTTGCGTTGCTTTGCATATTTAGTTGTGATTTCAAGGCCAAATGTGCAGTTCGTCTGCCTTCTAACAAAGTTGCCAGATGAAGTCAACGCTGGGGCTACCTCATTTTGCTATCAGATCTTTGCCAATTGCAATAAAATTAGGAACATTCACATTCCCCCCAAGTATCAACAAGAAATTAAATCCCTGCAGCTCCACTGTTCCCAGCTTGTATGAAACTATCGTATACAATTCTTTGTTGTTCATTCAATTGTGGAACAGTTGTGCAAATTGTTTCGGTCAATATTTTTGTATCATATTGTTGTTCTCTTTGCAACTTATGGTTAAATGCATCTTGCATAGAACGATTGGGTGCTGTCAAGTTGCAGTAATTTGTAATATTATTGTGTAGTATTCAAAGTTTGACAACTCCGACATTCTTCCCTTCCGTGCTTACCGCCCGTAGGTAAATTCGTCAAAACTTATGCCCGTAGTTGCAACGCAAAAATCAGTTGTTCTCTTTTGTTTTCATTTAACCAATGTTGAAATTGTTCAATTTGTATACACCATTTTTCACACATTTGGTTTTTTGGTTATAATTTTTCTTAATGTAAAAGCTCAAAACTAAAATCCAACTATTAACAAGTAAGGATGAGCTTAGTTCGTGTGTAACCGAACATTTCATACTCTTGCAACTTGCCAGGATCAAAGCCAGGGAAATACCTGCAGGTGCATATGGTTTGTTAGAACAAAGAAAATCAATATACAAGTATATATTATATGATAGTTTGAGTAATTTGTGAACCAATTTCACATATTTTCGGCATTAAACTATAGTATATCTAATATTATACTTCCAGTAAATTTTTCTAAGGTATCTTACTTATTTGCTGAAATATGCGATATAAAGTCAGCCAGTAGTTCGAAAATCATTATATGAGGTATATGGGGCTTAAGGAATTATTGACTCGATACAACTTATTTTTAGCATACAGGCATATTATTATCAGAGAAGGATTCGATAAAATGTTCACTGTAGGAACTGGGGTTCACACATTCAAAAATGGGGGGTGGAATAGATTTATTCCGATGTATATACTTTTTGGCTATAAGGTCGCCCAACTCAAAGGCACTATTCATGCAAAGTTTTATTCCGATATATTAATTGGTCCTTGATTTACTACTGGAAAGTGAAAGAATCAGAAGAAATTTAAAATGATGTTATATGGGAAATAGGCGTGGTTGTGGTTTGGCCCTTTTTCGTACTATAACATAGAAATATGAGAAGAATATTATATACCGAATTTGGTTGAAATCGGTTACAGATCCCAAGATATGGGTTTTCACCTAAAAGTGGGCGGTGCCACGCCCTTTATCTAATTTTGAACGTGGTTCCTATAAAACCATCTTATACCATCCCAGAGATAAAATTTAAATTCTCTGGTTTGTTTAGTGTTTGATTTATCGCGCTTTATATATATATGTATATACAAATCCACTTCAAACTCGACTCAAAATCCAGATGTAGTCAAAAGTCAAGATTTTGTTCCAATAATTTTAAAGTGGCTGATTTCAAAGAATACATCCCATTCAAAATGGGTACGGTTCACATACATATTTATCAAATCTTTATTTATCTATCAGAAAAACTTACATTTCAACGAAACTAAACCGGTGAAATATTAAACGACTTACATATAGAATAATAAAATCGTCAGTTTAAAAAATTAACGAACGGCGCAGTCAAGCTTTGAAATAGCGATAGAAGCCGACGTCTATTCTTTTCAAACTGAATTTGGTGGAAACACGCCAAACTTATATTTTTATTTTTTCTCTGCATAGTATTACTTTCTTTGTTATCTCAAAATAGTTTCGCTTATACTTACAAAATTAGGTACTTTGTTTTATGTCAAAAATTAGGTACTAGCCCTCGTAGTATCAATGTTTTGTTACTCTGAAAAATGGGCATATTGCCATAGAGCTCGTAGAGTTAACCATTTCATGTGGTAATTTCCGGTGTTATTCTATTCTCTCTTTAGCTTCCTACGGTTTCGAGAAAACGAAATAACGGTGTAGCTATGAATGATTGGACAATCAATTTTACTCGTAACCACAACCGAAATATGTTAAACTTTTGCGACTGGATCTAATAATAATAAAATAATTTGAAAAGAGGTTTTCTGCTCACTTAACAACATGAAATGTGGTAATGGTATAAACTGAGATTTTGAGCTCTCTCACTGCAGAGCTTATGGTATTCATGTTAAAATCTTTATACATATAAATGATAAGTTGATTTTCTATATGCTTTTAAAGTTTCTGTATACATTTTGTTTCTTACTTTATACTTGTGCACTTACCATATGTTTGTATGCGCATAGTTGACATTTACATTTTTACGCGGTTTTATGGGCCCTTTAGTTGATCAATGGTCTTGTCAGGTAAACTTTCATTTCTTCTACAAACGTGATAAGGATTGAAAATGAATATTAGTTTCATGCTCACGATATAAAGTTGGCGGCAAAAAATATTAACAGGATTATTGTCATTTTTAAATCTATGCATAATATAATAATAATAAATACATGTTACACTGACAGACTTATAATATATATGTCTAACTTTGTTATATGTCCTAAAATAAGCAGAATAACGAGCGTAAAGCAGATCAATGCAAGAAAAACAGTTTTGAAGCGTTTTTCAGCGCCGACTCACCGACTGTTTATTTTTATGGTGGAAGTGGTTATTTAATAATTATTTACATTTATTGTTTTAAATAAAATTATATTCGAACTAAATCCTTTGCAGCTAAAAAAAACTGTTACGAACAAGAAACAGAAGAGAACAGTATAATACCAAAGTACGCGCGGAATTCAGCGCTGAATCTCGCATCCACTTTGCGGTACCTAAAATCGATCAGGGCTAATCGAAATCAGCTTTGCGCACAGCTCGGCTTTGAGGTTTCACTCTGCAGGCACCCTTAGCCTGCTTAAAACCGTGTAACGGGTTTTCAAATAAGAGTGATATGATTTTTATTTGTTGTTCATGAATCATGAAATTGTAGACATTACTGAACACATTGAAAAACATTACAGATCATGACACATTAAAAGTGACCGAAACGGAACTTAGAAATTATATCATCCCTATTGGAAAAGAAATTAATAATATCTAAGATGTTTGTGAATTATTGCTTGTAATTTTTCATAATAATAGAACTTATTTTTTGTTTTTTATGCGTAAATTATTCAAAATCGATTATATCGATATTAACTTGTAATTAAAGGAATAAATTGTAATATATAATCAAAACATCGGATCAATAATGTAAAGTATCTGCCGACGATTTTATACAGGTTTTTCAATTTCATTCATCACGTTTATAAGACTTTTATTACTCTATCTGCGATTCCTGTTAATTTAAAAAATTTTCTTGTAATGAAAACACAAAACATGCACAAAAAACGGTTTAACAATAATAATCAGTGAGCCTAAAAATATGTTTGAAAATATGGTGCAGTCGTAATAGTATAACAAAATATTGGGTTGCAATTTAAACTTTACAAAAATAACTAACTATTTATGGTAGTTCAGATATGTGGTATGTGATTAAAATTATGAAGGTTTTGATACTCTGAATATATTCCTGTTGGCCGATTTTTGTGGTCATGTCTGGACTTTTCAATAAGAATTTTTTTTATATCATTAATTTTTTGGTTTTTAATACCCTGACCAAAGGTTTCCACGATCAAAATGTCGGAGACCCATTAAAATACTTATGTATATAAATGATTAACATGTTAAGCTGAGTCGATTTAGTCATGTCCGTCTGTCTGTATATAAGCGAATTAGTTCATTAATTATTTAGATATCGATCTGAAATTTTGAACACGTTCTTTTCGCAGCTGCTTTTTTGAAAATCAAGTTCTTGTATGGAAAACTTTTCTACTAACTGCCATACAAACTGAACGATAAAAATCAAGTTCTTCTATTGTAGCTTTTTTTATTTGTGAAGGGCCGAAAGTTAACTTTTTTCTTGATTTAATTTTTATAGCATATAGTCATTAAAAATAGTGTATATACTTGTATGTACATACAGAATAAGTTGAATTGTAAATGAAGAAGCAAATGTCGAAAGGGTTTTTTATGGTAGTACACAAGTGAACAGTATTCGCTGTAACTTTAGAAAGTTAGTTGAAAACTGGTCTCGTAATTGTTTACATTCTAAATGGCATATGTTGGTATGTTTTGCAGTTCATATTCTTTATATATCTGACAAGTATTTTATGTGTTGTTATTCGTACGTATTTTATTATGATAAAGAAATTTGAAAATTGTACTAAAAGAAATTTTATATAATTTAAGGGTATAGCATGCATATATCAAAGGCAAGTCAGTCGATACTGCTTTGCATGATGTAGTGTCATGGCTGGAGATAGCTCTCAAGCACAAGGAATTTGCTGTGGGCACCTTCCTCGACATCGAGGGGGCCTTCAACAATGTGCGACCAGAGGCAGTGGTTAAAGCCCTCGAAAAGTTTGAGGTGGAATCTAACCTCAAGCACCTTATTTTTAGTCTTCTTTGCGACAGAACTGTCGCAGCGGAGTGGGGTGGTGCCAAGGCTACCAGAAAAGTGAATAGGGGAACTCCGCAGGGGGGAGTACTCTCCCCACTGCTCTGGATAATGACCTACTTATAGAACTCGAGACGCAAGGCTGTCGGGTGACAGCATACGCTGATGATGTGGTTCTTATGGTTAAGGGAAAGTTCCTGAATACCGTTTACGAGCTCACCGAGGGGTACCTGAACGTGGTATCTAGTTGGGCGAATAGAAGTGGCCTAGCCGTCAACCCAAGTAAAACCGAATTGGTTTTATTCACTAGGAGGTATAAGATACCAAATGTGCCTCTCCCCTCTTTCGGGGGTTCACTTCTTCAACCTGCTGAGAAAGTGAAATACCTAGGGCTCATCCTCGACAGAAAACTTTCCTGGAGGCCAAATATTGAGGAGAGAGTTAAGAAGGCTTCGGTCGCCTTATACTGCTGCAAAGGGGCTATTGGGAAAAGGTGGGGACTCTCACCTAAGGTGGTGTTCTGGCTCTACGAAACCGTAGTTAAGCCAATAATGTTCTATGGTGTGTTCGTCTGGTGGAGGGCGCTCGAGAGATCCACACTGGCTAAAAAGCTTGAAAGGGTCCAAAGAGCGGCGCTCATCGGAATCTCCGGTGCACTGCGGACCACACCGACACTAGCTCTTAATGCTATTTTAAACATAGCACCTGTGGACATTTCCGGTAGGTGCATTGCCGCCAAGTGGGCTCTAAGGCTCAGGGAAGCTGGGCTTTTGAAGAGGTCCGAACAAGGGCACTCCGAAATTCTTTCCTCCTTCAGCGGCATCCCGGAAAATATAGATCACTGCGTCACTGAAGCCACTCGAGGCGGTTCCTTCTCCGCTCATATTCCAACGAGTGACATGTGGATGGGAAGAAGCCGTTGGAGAAGAGGCGCGGTGAGCTTTTTCACGGATGGATCGAGGCTAGGAGGGAAGGTTGGAGGGGGGGTTTTCTGCAAGGAGCTCTCCGTCAGTCTTAGCTTCAGGCTACCGGATCACTGTAGTGTTTTTCAGGCGGAAGTGGCTGATATCAAGGCGGCGGTAGAAGTACTGCTGCGTAGTGCAGCCTCGTTTGTAGAAGTGAGCATTCACTCTGATAGTAGGGCAGCAATACTAGCTTTGAGCGCGCGTACCGTGCAATCAATGCTAGTCAAGGAGTGTCGGTCCTCTTTAGAGATAGCGTCTGGCTATTTCAACATCAGGCTCGTTTGGGTGCCTGGTCACAGCGGAATCGCTGGAAACTGCAAAGCCGATGAGCTAGCCAGGGGGGTCACCTTTGCCCCGCTCACATCGGAATGGGATCGGGTTGGATCTCCGTTAGCGTCTTGCGCTCTAACGTTGGATCAATGGACCTCGCGTGCACTCAGCAGACGCTGGTCGACGACTAGGTCCTGTGCGACCGCGAGATCCTTCTGGCCAAGAGTGGATCGCAGGAGGTCGGCGGAACTTCTCGCCCTGAGCAAAGTGCATCTCGCCGCTATTGTAGGAGTTCTCACTGGACACAGTCCAATGGGCACTCATGCGGTACGGCTTGGTGTACTTCCCGATGCCAGTTGCCAAAGTTGTATGGAGGAGGGCGAGGTGGAATCATCCCAGCACTTTCTCCTCCAATGTCCGGCATTCGCTAGGCTGCGATTGAATTATCTCGGAAATCACACGTTTGACGGACCTGAATACTTATCCGAAATGGATATTGGCCGTCTTAACAAGTATGTAGTCAGCACAAGACGTCTTGTCGACTTGTAAGGGTCTTTTGATCCGGTTTATAGGAGTTTGTAGGTATCACAACGGACTGGCGTCTTAAGCTTAAGTGGGATCCCTTCTGGGATCGACCTCCTAACCTAACCTAACCTAAGGGTATAGCATATCGCGAATCTTTAAAAATACAGAGTGTTTTTACTATATTTGTCGTGAGTTTGTGAGTTAACTCTGACAGCACAGGCAAGTGCTATAAACCAAAAGGCAAAAGATTCGAACAAGGACTGTGCGAGCTTTCAACGTCGCAAAACAAAATTTCTTTGAATCAGTGACGCAATTGAAAGGAGAAGTTTCTGTAGGTCCGCAGATTTGCGATCTTATGACAGATGAAGCTTTTGATTCAAAGTGGAATAAAGCAGAAAAAAAGCTCAGTGGTTTTTGTAAAATTGCGTCATAATTTTATACTCACAATACGAATAACACAAAAGTTGAATACCACCGACCAATTATTTGAGAGCTTGCTGATCCAATAGGTCTCTTAAAATAATTTTTGGACTCACACGAAAATTTCATTTCTAAAATCATGGATCCAAATCAGCTCAGCATGGTAAAAGATTTCATCAAAATAATATGCAATTTAACAAACGCTGCAGTGGGAAATGCTTGCGATTTCTGTTAAACTGTTTGAAGTGAATCTCCAATTGAACTGCTTAAAGGTTAAAAAAAAAGAAAAAACGTTAGTTTCGGTCGTTCAGTTTGTATGACAGCTATATGCTATAGTGGTCCGATATCGGGCACTTTAACAAATGAGTAGCTTCTTAGTAAGAAAAGGACAGGTGCAAAATTTCAGATCGATAGCTTAAAAACTGAGGGACTAGTTTGTTTTGTATATATACAGACAGACGGACATGGCTAAATCAACTCAGCTCATTATGCTGATCATTTATGTGGTCTCAGACGTTTCCTTCTGGGTGTTATAAACTTCGTGGCAAACTTAATATTTTTTTAGGTGGAGTACGAATATTTGGCAAAACACTTCCTTTATATAATACCAAAGAAATAGGTAGGTTAGATATATAGTAGATAACAGGATCATTTTCGTTCTCTCTCAAAGCTAAGAACTCTTGTCCTGACGCGTAACTTTAGATACAAAATTAACCTTTAATTCAAGCTAGAACTTCTATTTACTGTTTGTTTCAAGTTAGAGCCCTAGGAATATTATATATCGGCGAATATTGGATTTAATACCTAGCATGATTTTTTTTGTGGTGTACGTCTTTCCTATTTCTCATCCACAGGGCCGGCGGATTCAGCTTTTTTTATAAAAAATTTAGTTCTCTTTGCCATAACTCTGATTATAACTATGGTATATTGTGAGAATAATTTTTAACTTCAATACTTTGCTCGAATCTAAATGTTTGTAATTCTGGAAACTAACAGACCATGTGAGGAATGAGAATCCTTTTAAAATTCATTTCCATATTTCCAATTATTCCCTGAACGGGTATATTAGGTTTGCCACGAAGTTTGAAACATCCAGAAGGAAACGTTGCAGACTCTTTAATATATACCATACATAGGGTATATGTATAACATAAGTGATCAGTGTTACGAGCTAAGTGGATTTAATCACTTCCTTCTGTCTTACAGTCCAACCGTCTCTATATACGCGAATTAGTCCCGAGAAATCGATCTGAAATTTTGCAGACGTCTTTTCCTCTCCAAGAAGCTGCTCATTTGTCGGATCTGTAGATTGTGGGTCATTGTAGCACATAGCTGTCATACAAACTGATCGATCCGAATCAAGTTTTTGTATAGAAAACATTTTTCAAGGCTACAACATTTTACTACGTACTGGTTGCAAAACCATTACATAATGCCTTATATAAAAAACGACTTCTAACATTCTCAACTGTAGTTCTGAAGATTAATTTGTTTAGGTGATCCGAAATTCATGTCCATAGTCAAAGCATAATAATTAATTCCAGTTGTTTTAACCTTTTCAAAAGAAATTTTCCAGTGCTAGCTCGTTGCTATTTTTTTTTTTTTTTACCGAGAAATAAACTTATTTATTCGTGTCTTAGTGACCGGTAACGAACATCTTCGAGTCCCCAAACAACATGAATGATTCTCATTCAGTTATTTACTGGCTATGAAAGGTTTCTATTAACAGTTCTCTGTGTTTAACACACAAATTCTCTTGTTAGAAGTAAACCTTTTTTGAGCTCATGCAGGGTGCACGTTTAAATACATTATGTACTCACAATTTTAGTTTTATCATCGAATATCAAAACGGTTTGAAAGAAGCAAAGGTAATTTTGGCTAACCAAACTTATATTTAACTGGGTTTATTGAGTGTATAATAAAAAAATTCATTCGACTACAAAGAAATTAACAAGTATATAACAGAGAATGAGCGCAAAAAGTAACAAGCTCTTACGGGTAAAGCCCTTTACCGTCACGGGAATCGACTGGGGGCGCCAAGTAACTGTCACGTGGTTGTACTGGTAATTCAATATGTGCTGTGTCAGTTGCTTTTTGCTCGGCAGCCGAAGAGGATGATGCTGAAACTGCCGAAGATTCCGTAAGCGAAATGTCATTGCTAAGTGGCAACTCTGCTAGTTTAGTAACAGGCGCCACAGAGGAAGCTGGGGCGCTCAAAGCGTTGACTTTGGCGGCTCTGACGGCATATGGCACACGATTCACGATGGCATTGAAGCCACTAGGCCCATCGACCGTGTAGGTGACGGTGCGCTGGAAACCATCTGGATCGACAACGCTGTACGAGCCCTGCACGAAGTAGCCATCACGAGTTTCAGCATGCGACTTAATGTCACCGGTCTCGTCACCATGCACATTGTAGCTGTAATCGTATTTCGCGGGTGGATTGTATGCCTCCACAGGTGCTGCGGTAGGTGCGGACAGGATGTGAGCCTGTGAATTGAAGGATGTTGCAAGTTTTGTGAAAGTACCAACTGAATCCGAGGCCGAAGCCGATGAGGATGAGGTGAGACCGGCAAAGTTTTGTGGGCTATCATAGTCATAGCCAGCAGGTGTGGGTAGAGCATTAGGAAGCGGCTTTTGGGCTGCGCCGTTGTTGAAATCATAACTGTGCTGTTGTGACTGTTGCGCTGTTTGTTGTTGTTGGTCTTCTGCTTGCTGTTCAACTGCGTTGTTGTTATAGTTGCTTGGGTTGTAATTATAACCATTTGCATTTGGTTGTTGCTGCTGTTGTTGTTGTTGTGGTTGCGATGGCGCATTACTATTAAAGGTGTTGAGCGCTGCCAGTGGTGCATTATAACTGTTGGCCGGCTGCTTGACATTATCATTGTAGCTATTTATAGTATACACCTCGTTGTTTTGATTATTATTGCTGTTGTTGCCATTATATAGATCGGTATTGTAGTTGAATTCAGCGGAAACGATGCCCTGCGCTGCGGCTGCTGCGCAAATGAGTAGCACAAACTGTAACAGTAAATGGGAAAGAGTTAGAGATCCTTATGAAAACGCTTAAGATTTGTGTTACCTTGAAAGCCATATTTGTTAAATGTATCCACTGATTGAATTACCGTTATTACAAACTGAGCGCTGACAACTCGCTTTGATTCGATGTTGCGTGTAACTGTGATCTTCCAACGAAGCACGTGAAGTATTTATAATGCAAGGGTCGCCAATAATGAAGTCGGCAATTTTCGTTCGGTCAATCTAAATAATAATATTAATAATAATAATAACAATTATATTAATAACAACAACAATAATAATAACAATAAAAACAGTAATAAAAAATCACCGGTTACTTACATTGAACAACAGCGAAGAGCCTATGTGACAAAAAATTGGTTTAGTCATTGTATTACAACAATTTACTAATGTACTCCAAATATTGGTTGTAACACCAATACCGAAATGTGAGTAATAACAAAGTAATTCATAACCAAAATGTGTCGAAAAATCAATTGTAAGGCATTTCTTACACTTTCGGTCTTTTCGGTTACTGTTAAGTTGTTATGCACATGTGTATATATTTGTGTAAGTACCCACATGTGCTATGAATACACCAGTTAACATTACACATTTTCTTACGGCCTTTTATAAATAAGGTGACATAGTTGATAATAAACTATAGAAAATAATATGAGCCTTCAAATTTCCCATAAAATAATAAGAAAAATTCAACGTTCGGATTTATCTATTGTATTATCAATATATAAATAGAACACATTACATAATGTGGCAAAACCTGAAGGTGTTCCTCCGGCTTTGTTCCTTGGAAGTTCCAAGAGTATGAAATTTTCGGTTACACCCGAACTTATGGTCTAATCGGAAGTTCGAAAATTTTTATATCACCCATTTTTGACAGGGGGAACATTCATATATCTCACAGATTGATCAATATTTTCGCTAAAAAGTTAACCATAGGCACTAGGTTCCACATATATGGAAATCTTTAGAATAAAAATTTGATTCGGTTTAGAGTATCTAAGAAAATACTTCTTCTTTTGTACATATAGATCATTTAAATACGTTTTATGTTGAATGTTTAATAAACAAAGTATTAGAGGACTTTTTGGAAATCGTTATATATGATAACTAAATATCCATTGATTTCCATATTTGGAATATATTTTCATATCATGTGAGAAATATTTCTTCAGTTATCGGTTAACAATTCAAATAAGCTGGCGGAATTCAAAATTGCGTAGAGTAGTAGTTTGCTGTATGCGCGGTTATAGCCTCCTGACTATTTTTATAAAAGTAAGTCAGGTAGAGTGAGTACCAAAGGTTGATAAAATATATATAGCGATTTGGGTGGTGTACACTTGTTATACAAGTGACATGGTTATTTCTATCTAATCTCTATTTATATTCCTAGCTTAGAAGTTACTGACTTACATATACATATACTAGGTAGGGTGATTAAGATGAGATTTTTCTTATTGACCCCCAAAAGCCTCCGTGCATCCGCCACTGCAGTTGTGCCAACCTCTAACCAGTTCTAAGCGGCTTTTTTTTATTTCATCTACCAGTTGTTCCGTAGTAAAAGCTTTTTAGTGGAGTGTTTTTTGTATTTTCTAAGTAAATTAACTTTAGCAATGTATATATTTTTTATACCATCAAAAAGTATGGTAGAGATATCAGCGAAGAAAAACCCTACCGATTTTTATAAATCTGATATTTTGACGTGAGAATTTTTGATACAAAATTATAGTGTTTTATCGATACTGTGTCAAAATGAGAAACAAATAATAATAATTAAATAAAAATATTTTTGTAAAAGATAAAAATAAAACCCCGAAAACTTATTTTAATTTTAGACATACATTTGGAGGTACCAAAAATTTGGATCCTATTACTACCTGCAACTTTGCAGTGTAACTTTTTTCCATAGCATTCGTAGTTTGACCTCCCCTTTCTCTTCCCGACCTCAGATTGCCCGTACTTTTTTTTTAAAGACGTGATTTTAATAGTGGTGTGTCTATTAATAATCAACTCCATTTCCTTTTCTACTCTGAAAAAGAAGTAGAAACTAGAAAAACTATACTCTTTTAATGCCTTAAATCAACGCACAATTAGAATTTTACATATATTACAATTTTTAAAATAAACTGCAAGCACTATTAGTTTTTGACTTATATACACCAAAAGCTAAATTTTTGTTAACTAATTTAATATAACTTTACATGTTCACTAACAAATCAAAGAAGGCACAAATGATGTACTTGAAGGAAAGAAATAGTTCATAAAAAAAAAATTTGAGTGTCAGCGTCTATTAGCTGAATCATCATAATTCAGAGTCTCTTTGTCACTACTTTGTATTTCATACTTCATCTGCCTGGCTCGACGGTAGCCGCTGTGTAAAGTAGAGCAGAAAATCGGATTTGACATTCGAGCGTGTGCAATTAAGTAATTTAATTATGCATTTATCATTCATAAATATTTGTTGCAATCCCTCTTTCTAGAGGCAAACTTTGGTTGCGAAGGACCCGTTGAACTGCTTGTCAGACACACCTCCTTAATAATTTGAGGAATTTGAGGAATAAAAATTATAGGTAAAAGTGGAGAATTAATAGGGCACCATATACAACAAGCAGAAATAAATGGGAGAGAATTTTATACTTTATGCACTTTTGAACTAATAAACGTTACCAAAACAGAAACGCTTTTAATAAAGAGAGATGGATATTAATATGAAGACCAAAAAGTCAGCTCACCATTACCGGTATACGAGCGTGCGAACGCAGTGTGTAAATTCTACTCCAGTTGAATATTTTTAACGTTCAGATTTTGCTTTTTAAGTTTCAATGTAGTAGAAACGTTGTTCAGAAGGACATTAGGAATCTGTAAACATCTACAGAGGCGAAAAGTACGAAATGTGCGAAAAAATTCTCTAAAAGTTTGCTGCGTAAAGAACACATTTGGTTTGACGACTACACTCTAGGAAGTTCTATAGTCTTTATTCATATTTGCATTGAAATTTTTATTACATGATTTTTATTACAGAAGTTTCCAAACTTAGTGCTAACTCGTATTTCCTTAACACGTCAGTCTATTATGCAGCATGCAGTGATTGATATCAAGTTAGAAAGTAAATAAGGGCGCTTTATTCGTATAAAAACTACATTGTATTTTATTTTGTCCGTCAAAAATGTTAGAAATCAACCTTATACACCGAAAACTCTTGCACCCTACAGGTGTATTAAGTATCTTGTTGTTATCCATAGTAAAAATCATATTGCTTGCAAGGCTTCCAAAGTTCTTCGAATTTGATATAGCTGTAAAAGAGCTATTGTCCACAAATGGGGGTTGCGACCCTAAATAGTATAATATATTAACTGCACACAAGTCTCATATGATTGGTATGGTGTTAAGCAGTAATGAAGAAGTGCTGCCACTGGAACAGGTTCAGGGCGTCTGTAGCTGGATAGGGTATTATGGAAACTAACTCAACAAAGGCAGTCATTATAGATATATGGCCGATAAACGTTCAAGTGAATTATGAAACAGTGCTTATAAACATAACAAGTTGTTAGGCCATTGGGCTTAGCGCAACTCGTTATAATGTTCGATCTTGATACAATTCAGGTTTTCAGGACGAAGTCGTGAAGCTAACCAAAATTGAAATATTGCTTTGAACTATAAGTTTATTAACTGCAATATGTTGTAGGTGGCCAAACCGCAATAAAGGCAAACCGCTGTGAAAATTCAAAGATGTCATTAACAGACTTGTACACCCCACAACACCTAAGGCCCACCAACAGAACACACTGTATCACAAAATTACTATGGGATCTTGTAGATAGTGGACATACGTTTTTTGGTACTAACTAATGTTGGGCATTTCCTTTTGCGGTCTCACCTTTAGAAACTTGGTATAGTGGCATCGGCAGAATGTAAAACAAAGCTCCCAAAGTTTCAATTTAAAAGAAATTGGGCAACTACTGTGGAAAAAGCTCAGAAATTTCATCACGTCCAACGATTTATTGAATGCTGAACGAGCCTAATGATGTCTTAAATGTGCCGTTTGCTAACTGAAGATTGTGCCACCTCGCTTTTCAAAGAACCAATCGAAGTGATAAGCAAAGTAGATGACACTCATATCCATTATAAGTTCTGGAGGGGAAACGCCTGATTAGTGCAACAAAACTTGAAATCAAATTTTTATCAAAAAACTGGGTTCTTTTTGAACTTAACCAGCATGCACAAAATATAGAACAAAAACAAAAACAGTCTCTTAAATTCAATAATAAATAAGATATTTTTGAAACGGCTATCAGCAAAAGTCAGGTGGCCTTCCACAGGGCTGTGATATATTTAGTATCAATACTGCAGATCTATTTTAATTTAGCATAACGAATTGTATGCTTAGTAAGCTGGAGCCTACGATGCGTATGTTGCTTCGTTGTGCTCATGAAAGAAATACATCTGTTTCTTTCGTTTATGACGTAGACTGTGATGTAGTTATTTTTTTTTTATTTAAAAAGGAAATTTTGTTTGATTTACAAATTTTAGAATGCGGTTGTGATGAGTAAACTTAAGGTTTGTCATGTAAATATAATTCTCGTTGTATTCCATACAAATGAAATAAAAATTATTTTAATTGATATTTGAAAGTGTATGCTAAAAGTAAAAGCTTGCATGAATACTTTTGCTATTTTTTTTTAGTTTCTGAGTATTTCCTACTTTTAGGTAAGCTCGTTAAATTTAAGTACGGATTACGTCAGTTGGCCGTATATTTGGCATGCTGTAAAACCAACCATATTAGTAATTTTTTTTTTAAATACTTTTTACTGCTTTTGAATCATAAATGTCGAGAGATTTTTGCAACAATAAAAAATTTCCTTGCCAGCATACCACATCAGTGGTAAGCAAAAATGTGGACCACATACGGAGTCTATGTTTACATTTACTTAAGCCAACGTAACTTAGTCTTTAAAACAACACTACATACATACATCTATTAAGAATTAGTAGCACAACGAACAAACGGTTTATTTAGCTTTGCGAAAAAAAGACATGCAGATAAGTGGTCGTAAACCGGTCGTTTAAACACTTGACAATGCTACAGGCAAAGCAGCCACAGATCGCTGGAGATGTACGAGTGCTTATGGAAGACTTCAGTGCGGCGATTGGGTATAATGCTACATATACGAAGCGCAAGCGATGAGTTGCTTTCAGCACAAAGAGGAGTTAAGACGCGTTAGCCCAAAGCGCGGCGCTTAGTTTAAGCGGCGGCAATCCGGTATACTGCAATTATTTGCTTTGCTTCCGTCACAAAGACGATGAATCGTTTGTTGGAAATGCAGCGCGCATGCGCGACCGCAAACAAGGACGCAAAGTCAACAGAAAGTGAGTGCAATTAAACTATAAATCATAAATCATTTGAAATAAGCGACGCCATTTAACTGGCTAAAAGCGAGCAGATATTTTATACTATATACATATCTACAAGGTCTAGAAATATTTATTAAATTCTTCTTTCCTTTTTTACGTTTTCAGAGCCCTCACTGCCTTTTATAAAACAGTTGCAATTCCTCTACGGCTATGTGCTCGGCTTTCTAATGGCGCTCACCACACTGCTCTGCTACGATCGCTTCCTGCTGCAAACGGCGCAGCTGCGGCAACACAGCACAGCCACCGAGAATTGGCAGACGGGCTATGATACCGCCTTGCAGCAACTGAAAAGCGATGCAAATACACTGCAGCAGCAGTTGGCTGCGGAAGTACGCGTGCTTTGCATGGTGTTGACCACGCCGGCGCAGCACGCAACGCGCGCCGCACACGTGAAAGCAACTTGGGGCAAGCGCTGTACGCGCCTCGTCTTCTTCAGCAGCGCGACGGACGTGGCATTGGGTGCGGTGCCGGTGGTGGATAATGCCTCCGATAAGTATGAACTGCTGTGGCATAAAGTACATCAAGGATTTCGTTACGTATACGCACGGTATTACGCGGATTACGATTGGTTTCTGAAGGCGGACGATGATACGTGAGTGAGTGTGCATAAATAAGGAAATATGAAAGTGAAATGCAGTGATTTGTCAGATATTGATGTTTGCAGGAGAAGTGGTAAAGAATTGTTATTTTTATTTATTTCGTAGTCACGGAAAATGCCAACGCGTCGCATTTGATTTTTCGCATAAATTTGTTTGCCTAATCTCCGAAAAGTTATGTAAACTTGAAACTTAAGAAACACGCTTGGAGATAGCGGTTAATGACCGCGCTTTAAATTAACTGTGCAAATCGAAATTTGAATTGTAAAACGTGTAAAAGCGAAATTATTTTTGATTCTGAATAAATTAGTTCGCATACTATTTCATCTCAGCAAGTATAAATAAAGAATGTGCTGGTGTGTTTGGCTAGCTAAATATAGATAACAAAATAAAAAAACAGAAAAATAATTTAAAATAAAAGTAGCATAATTAAAAGAAAGAAGCCGAGAAATGTGAAACAAGTTTCTTGTTAAACGAGCAGTGAAATTGTACTGGATCATTAGACAAAGCGTCCAAATGCAAATTATTTTTATCTTCTTACCGCCAACGTTCAGTCAGATGACTTTATTTATGATAAATATATTCAAAAAGAACAGAAAAATATAAGTTGAAACAAGTTCTTTAGAAAAAAATTGTTGCTAAAAACAAAGTAGAAGAGTGAAACACTTTTTTACCGTTGTAATAGAACGTGAAATGAAATGGAATGTGAAAATATCAAAAGCAACCAAAATAAATGGGACAGAAATGACGTGAAGTGCGATGCTAATGAAACCATTGAATGAAATAAAAAAGTATGAAATAAAATATTTGTGATATAATATGTTGTTTCAAGAAAGTGATAAAATGTTTAAGTGCTATGCGGAATATAACTTTATTAGTGTTAGTATTTAATATCATAAGCCACTTGCAGCTAAACTTTTCGCATATTTCACAGGAAGCGAGCTTCTTTCATTAAAGCCCAAACATTTTGTCTTGGGTTGGCGTCTGCTGACTGTGATGGCCAATCTCAAGTATTAATATGGTTTTCTTGTTTCCATTGAGTACAGAGTCTGCTCCTATGTTTTGGATCATTGTCTCCTTGCAGCATCCAATCATTGTTATTTTTACCGTAAAGCATCTCAGCTGACTTCTGTAAACCCTTTTTATACAATTTTCCGTGAAACACCTCAGAGTATACTACTTTTGTTCATCTAACTGTGATTTGTATCTAATAATCTAATAAGCTGACCTAAAAATAATCGAGTTAGATATAGCGTTATATATATATAAATGATCCGGATGATGAGACGACTTAATATCCGAGTGACTCTCTGTACGTCCGTCCGTCAGTCTGTCCGTTTAAGCTGTACCTTGAGTAAAAATTAATTTGCTTGATGAAACTTGGTATACATGTTTCTTGGCAAAAAAGTTGGGACAAGTTTTTAGATGGGCGTAATCAGCTCATTGCCACGCCCACAAAACGCCATTGATGGAAAACCTATAAATTGCCATAATTAACCCGCAAATTACTATGAACACTATGCGTAATTTTAGTCTTCATATTGATACCATGGTTTTGAAAGCAAAAGGTGTTCTCATCTTTGTTAAACGTTGGTCTAAAAAATTTAGAGATTCATTTATTGTTAAAACTCTTTTTACAACTTTGGTTAGGCCTATATTATAATATGGTTCTATGGAATGAAATCCTAGTTACCAAATCCATTCCCACAAGTTAGAGTCTGTTCAAAAACAACTTTTATTTTTCGCCTTAGGACATTTCAAATGGGGTTCTACGTTAAGTCTACCTCGTTACACTACTCGTTTAACACTAATGAATCTACCTGCACTTGTTAGTCGTAGGGAAATGCTTGACATAATTTTGATAGCTGAGCAGTTTTAGATCTTGACTCTTAAAAAACTCTCATGCCTTTCATGACTCGATTAATTTCGCTCTTTTCAAGTTAGATCACCCAAATATCAACAGGTTATATCATTTCAACCCCAAAAAGGATAACTATAGCTTTGTCCTCACTTTTAAATGTCACGTTATTTCTTCCTCTTCCTCCTGAGTTGTCATCGACGTTTTCAGTTTCTCTATAATGGTCAGACCACTTCTTCACAAATGTACAACTCGTATTTAAATACTTTGCAGTTTTTAATAGTCCATTAGGAACCTTAAGGATTCTTCCTTAGAAAGGTTAGGAACGTTTTTTATACTGAACGGTAATTTTTCTTATTTATTTATAAGATCGAAAAAAACTGATCGAATTATATGCGTCAGTGATGGCAATTTAACATATGCTGATTTGCAAAAAAAAATATATAAACAGTAATTTTTTTGAACACACTGTACCATCGCGCTACTTATGTGTCACTGATAAGCTCGCTGATAATAGTCAACCCCAGTTGTTCGATTACAACCAAACGCAAAAAATTTAAATATAACAAATCAAGTTTTGCACAGCGCTTACCTTGCAAACATATGTAGTCTTGAATAATACAAAAATGTCGATTATTAAATTCGATTACTTCTTTAATTATACAAATTTTCTTAAGTCGACCACAATTTTAGAAAACTATACCAGAAATCGATTGGAGATCACGTGACCAATGTGTTTTGCCATATCAATGACGCCTGAAACGTCACCAGGCCATCTGTGGTGAAAGTGGCGTCCAATTTTTGATATTTTTTCCAGTTGCCAAATAACGTATTTTTTAGCTTGATCCTTCATCCATTAAATCAGATGTTTTCGGGTGCCAAGCAGCGTGGATTCATTTAAATGGCTCGTTATGCTTCCTGAGGTTTGACAATTATTTAATGGTTCACCATAGGTTACTCACCCCAGGGGAAATGTTGCAATACTTCATATACTTTTCGATTTTCCAACGCTTATGGTAACTTACCAGTTGTTAAAAAAAATATATATATAAATATAATTTCGGACATCCCTCCACATTAAAATTAGATTGCAGAACTCATTCGCTAGGTTCTAGGAGACTTAACTTTTGTCTTTCCTACTTGAATGATAGAAACAATTATGCTAGACTTGCAGATCAAGTTTTCCGTTATTTTCATTCATGACGTAACTAACCGAGGTAGTCTTCCATCAAACGCACTTTAAAACAAGATAAATGTTAAATTTGATTATACTGAACTTATAATACCGTTCAAAAATATATACAAATAATTAATTTTGATCGTTCAGTTTGTATGGTAGGTATATGCCAGAAATGAACCTCTCTTTGGGGGAAGAGGATGTGTGCAGAAATTCGGATCGATATCTCAAAAACTGAGAGACTAGCTCGCGTATACACAGATGGACATAATTAACTTATATACATTGGACATTCAATAATTTATTTATATTTGCTTGGATGTATTTGTTTTCTCTAGCAATAAAATCGGATATTATGAAGCGCATACATTCAGTTCAAGTTCAGCACTTTTACAGAGAGCAAATGAACCAAATAAGTTTCGAAATAAATTCAATCGGAATGTTTTAATGAAAATACCGCTATCTTTTTATGGTTTATAATATATTTGAAGTGTGTGATATTACGAACGAGAAGAATAGTAAACAAAATAAAAAAAGAAATTGAAATTGCTCCACTTCAATTTTATTATAATTTTCTCTCATCTTCTATAATTGTATCTCACTTCTTGCAGTATATTCATTTATCTCTTCGCAATCTAAGTCTAATAATTTTAATGTCTTGAAGCTTCATTCAAGATGCTATCACACCTGCTACCTTTTTTTGTGCTCATATTCGTATATATCTTTTATGAAAGCGTTGCCCGTGTTGTTTCGTAATATACCATACATATTTGAACTAAAATAATTTTTGAATATATTGCAATTTCATTCCAAAAGCTTTGCACTTTCCTCGTTAAACACAAAAATACATACATAGGTATATATAATATATACTGAAATCTTTAAGGGATAATGATATATACATATGTATATATAATTTGAAAAAACATAAAATCAAATAACATAAAGATACTCCTATAAAGTAAATAGAACTACCATCTCACATAAAAGAACATGAATTTGAGCTTCCCGAAGTCCAGTTTTCAACAATATTGACGTAACAATTTTTGAGTCGCTTTGGCTTTGAATGTCGGTGGTCTTGCTGAAAGGCCAAGCGTTCTCAACTAAAGAGGGTTGTTGACAAACTGTTCACAATTTCTTCCAAGTGTATTTTGATGTTAAACTTTCGCATTCTTTTTATCGTCATTTTGTTGAATTATTGAAATAAATTTATTTTAGAATATAACATTGTATCGCAAAATTGGAATAACGGTATCAATTAATTTGCAAATCTTGAAACAGAATGTACAAGTATTGTAAAACTAAGTGTTGTAATTATGACCTATCATGAAGTGTATAGCAGTCTGTGCATATTTAGCGAGATAAACCAACGCAAGCCTCACCAGGTTACAGACTGACCGGAAATAAATAATTAGCTTCATGTAAAGATCAAACGTTCTTCCTTACATAGGTAACTTTCATATTAATTGCAATGAAGTGTGCTATGAAAAACCAAAATATTTTTCCAGGCTAATTCAGTTTTAGTTTCAAGTCGTGATTTTTTTACATCCCCACTATATACCTACATACATATATATTTATTACATCACTCGCATTGCTGCCTTCGATATTTTATGTAGTGTGTTAGTGTAACGATTTAATATAAAAAAAAACCCTTCATATATCAGTTTTTTAAGATTTTATAATTTTTTCTTTATAACAGCTACGTAATCATGGAAAACTTACGTTATTCGCTCTATGCTTATGACCCCGAAATGCCAGTTTACTTTGGTTACGAGTTGGTGCAACTAAATGTGGTAAGTTTATGAGCGCATAAATGTTAATATATCATACTTAATCTTGTAAAAACTGAAAAATTTTGTATTTATGTGTATATGTTTAATATGTTTGTGCATAAATTATCTTCATGAGACATGTAAAGTCATCAAATCGCCATTAAATTGGCTCGATTAACGTCGTGCAAAAAGTTTGTTCGTTTATATTTTGCATTCAAATTTATGTTAAGTCGCCTCTACAAACATAAATACATATAATGTTGTAGTATATGTTTTATAGTTAATCGTCAATCAGTTGTTGTTCTAATAAATTATTCATTCATGGTTTGAAAAATAGGTATTTAAATTTTTTTTCCATTATTTGAGTGGCTATAAAGTATATTTCTTGTGCATATAGCTTTGTACTCATCAGGCTGTACAGAAAAGAAGCATTTCGCCTAAACCCTTTAAGTAGGGAAGTTGCCATCTGTTCACAAAATTTTTGTTCAAAAAAATTATAACAAATACTATTATGCAAATAAATAAGTTTAAGAGGCCTTTAATTGTAAGTATTTTTGAAAATGCCAGCTATAGCATATATGTAGCTGCCATACAAACTGACAGATCAAAACCAAGTTTTTGTATTGAAAACTTTTATGAGGGGTATTAGGTGGTGACACATAAGTTAACGTTTTTGTAGAAATATTCAAACTATGTTCTATTCCCCCAATGCTTAAGGCAAATATGTGGTAGTGTTGACACGCTGTATAAAGCAAACCATTTATAAGCCAGATACTATCACAAAAGCCTTGAAAAGCACATTTCTATAGAGTTAGTCGGCAACAAGAATAAATTCTTATGCTATAAAGAACATCAAGAGTTGCTCTTTATTTACAGACCTACATGTCCGGTGGCGCTGGCTATGTACTCAGCAAAGAAGCCTTCTCTCGCGTTGTTACAACTGGTTTTAATAACGAAACACTTTGTCCACCAACTAAATACGCGCTGCCCGAGGACTACTGTATGAGTATTTGTTTGCAAAATGTGGGCGCATTGCCTGTGGATGGACGCTTTATTCAGCCCAGCGACAACAAGCAGACATTTTTCCCGCTGCAATTGACTGATTTTATAGATAGCAATGAAACTCTGTCTAGTGGAGACTGGATAGAGCGCCTGACGCCGTACACAGTTGATTGGGTAAGTCTTTCTCAACTTTTTGATTCATCGTAATAAATTATTAATTTTGCTTTTTAATTTTTAGGGCCTCAACTGCTGTTCGAATTATTCCATTTCGTTTCACTACACAGATCCCGCTATAATGTATTTATATGAGTTTTTTGTTTATCATCTGCGCGCAGTCGGGCTTCCTCAACCCCGCGTCACATTGCCAGATAAAATCGACTCCGCTGAACTATTGAGGCGATTTTCTAGTGACCGAAATACAAAGGACCCGTGGATGCCGCTTAAGTGGGTGGATGTGTCGTGAGAATACAATTATATATGTATATATTGTAAATATTTATTTTAAGTGTCTGTATGTAACGGTATAAAAGTATTCCAAATATATTTCATAGGTAGTTCATTTATTTTTATATACTCGTACATATGTATATATATTTAATTATTGTTCAATAAAATATAAATAAACAGTACAATTCTAAGTATGCGAACAAGTTAATTCGCAAAAAATGAATTTACATAATTTTGTACGAATAACAATTAGCACAAGAAAAAAATGGAAATGTCCAGAATAGGAAGGATATAGACAAGATTGCAATACGCTACGTCTTAAATTGTAAACTGTCATAGAAGTGGTTCACAAAGCATTTCCATCCTTTTGTTCATGGTGGTTCAGGAACGATTTTTTCTTTGTCAAAAGCACACCGAAAAATAACAGAATGACGTCATAATCTCTATTTCGATTGTTCTTGATCTTGACGGATTAAACGTTATAAGTAAAAAATTTCAGATTTCATAAATGGTTTGTGAAATATTCAGGTGACCACAACCCCGTTATTTTTTTTGACACAATCGAAAAATCGCGTATGCGGGAAATATTTTATGATTCATTCTGAAAAACTTTGATTAAGTGAATATGGGTCTTAAACCGGTTTCGAGCCAGCAATTTTTAAGGCGAAGTTTAATTTTTAGAGATTTTGAAAATTTCTTCGTCAGTTTTGAGATATCCAAATGAAATTTAATGGTTGTATGAGAGGTATGTGACATAGTTGTCCGATTTTCTTAATTTTTACTGTCATTGTTAAGTATATATTAGAAAATAGTTCTGCAAAATTACGTACGTTTGGCTTTTTAATTAAAGGCAGGTAATCGGAAAATAAAATAACTGAATAATCGATAGTATGGGTAATATAGTTGTCCGATCTGTACGACTCCGACAGATGATCAATATAATGTCTAAATGCACCTATGTATAAAATTTCATTCGGTTATCTCAAAAACTGACGAAGAAATTTTTATAATCTCTAAAAAAAATTAATTAATCTTAAAAAATATCTAAAAATTTATTTGAATTTTGTTGAATATAAGACATTTTAATTGAACTCATGACTTTTTCAAATTGATGCCAAAACGTTTTGCGAAGAATGTTAGGTTATCACACGGTAATGGAAATATCTATACAAATTTATTTGTTCATGTTTGTTGGTGTTTTTTTCTGTGCGGTAAATATTCGACATCTGTACATATAAATCCTATTGTTATTATTGAAAATTAATTTGAATGCTTCCTAATAAATATGGCGATTACTGTATGTTAAATGTAAAGTATTGTTTTATTGTAGCATAGTTTTAGATGCGCGCTATAATTAACAACACGTCGTAAAGCAATGAAGCTTATAAATAATATTTATATTCAATAAATTGTTGAATAGAAATTATCCAAATCAGATAACTTTTCATTGTACCTGGTATTATAGTCATAACTTTGTTGTGATATTAAAATTATTATAAATGTTTACGCATGGGCGTGAGATTTCGGATGGCGACAGATTGTACATATTTCAATTGTAACGGTGCGATGAAGTTCCTTTAGAAGTGGTATGTACTTTTACTTATGAAACGTTTGTGTTCACGTTCTGTTGCTTTCTTCATCTCTAAATGACCTACACTAACATAATTTTTAACGAAAACGTGATTCTGATTTGAGCTTGATGGCACCGTTATTAAGAACGAACGATTTTTTAATGTACATAAAAAAAAATTGACCTAAAAACCTCTAAAGATGAATCGGTGTTAAAAATCAATTTGTGGAATGTGGAAGGCACATACAACAGCTAAATTAAAAAGAAGCAATGAGGTACTATTTTACACTATAGACTTTGACAGATCAGCGATAATGAGTATACAATGTATTTAAGTGAAATATTTAGGTACGATATTAAAATCGATCCCCTGTTCCATAATTCTTTGGTTCTTCGCTCGCTTCAACGTCTATTGGCTTCAATTCATGTGACACCTAATTCCTTTGCTTTTGTGTCTATCCGGCTGCTTTAAACGTTTTTAAATGGTTGCTTGAGTGACTTCCAAAGATTCTGCGAGCTCTTCTTGGTTTTGGAAATATATATAATATATGCTTCCAGTTTCTTATCTTAAAACTATTTGTGCCGCCCTGGACGTTCTTCCAAGAAAACCATTTTTAAGTCGTACAAACGGAAAAAATGCCTTTCAGGCACAAAGTTCGACATAATTGAGTGAAAAATATTATTGTCTTTACTTTTCAAACTCAGACGGAAAAGGACTGTAGCTTTCTAAGGAATTTTGGATTATTGAAACAATGGAATAATAATAAAGTTATGCCATCTCAAACCGAATATAGTTAACCCAATATATAAATATAGCCATCTCTGTGAAAATTGTTTTGAAATAAGTATCGAAGGGCTAAGTTCGGATGCAGCCCAACATTAGCACTGAATAAATTAAATTAATAATTAGAAGTTAAAAACATTGAATTTAACATTAGTTTTTAGATAACTGCGTTTTGTCAAAGTAACAAGAATGGACAAAAATAGGTCACAGTTTTCTCTACTTAAGCACGGGGAGATCGTGATCAATATGGATTGACGAACTCGAGGAAGACAAGAAGAAGATTGTCATAAACAATTGAAAAGAAATCGCAATTAACCTTGAGGTCACATGTAAAGCAGAGCAAAGCGCACCAGGAGCCTTAGTGTCAATAGATGATGATGATGATTAGATAACCTTGATTAACTTGACTTGATTGATCACAATCAGCCAGAAGAACAGTTAGAGTTAATGATTTTAAGAAGTTTAACTCGGTTTGAAAATTTTATATAAAAAGTCTATAATTTTTTATCTACAAATCAGAAACACTGCAACTTTAATTATCCATATTTAAATAAGATTTACTGTCAAAGTTATTATTTAGTAGGGTTGTCCACATATAGTTTTAGGGTTTATATAATTAATATTAATATGATTAGTGATAATGTAGTATTAATAATAATGTAGTATTAGAGGGAACAAACTAAACTGGCGTAAGACAACACACATTTTCTTGCGGGTTTCAGTTTCCCCTCTGTTAGCACATACATATATGAAGGATTTCCAGTGTAAATATTTCGTCACCAGACATATTGCTTGATTGGTGAATTATTATTTGGCGATTATAACAACTCGCTGACACACTTTTTGTCGGCATTACATTGCCACGAATTCTGTGCCACTTGATTGGTCAGTCTTTGACGTTTAGAAAACATAACGAAAGCATACACACGCGTGTAATTCTATCTACGTCTGTTAGTATATGTCACTTTTCGCACATTACCAACACCAATGATTGACTGACCCCCAAATTTGATGCAGCGGCAAACGTTTGACTACAGCAACAACACGAGCATAAAATCATTTGAAGCCTCCACCTTTTTGCTAAATTTTTGCGTTTTGCATCATTTACTTGCCTGGCCGACACACCTTGGAAAATTTAGCCGCGGACACACTTAGCTGCCTACTGTAATTTACGTAAACCACGTAAATGAATGACAAAAAATTTAAAGCGAAAACAATGGCAACAGCAACAAAGATATTGTAATCAGAAAACATAAAAAACCGTACGCCTCCTGCTAAGACAACAAAAACCAATGGACATGAACACACGACTTAAAAGAATCTCAAGTCAAAGTGAAATAAAAAAGTGTTTAATTTTTGTTTTTTTTTCAAAAACCAGTCAAACATAGGTTATCATACCATGGCAATATACAACAGCCGTAACCATCTCACCAACCGTTGCTGACACATCATTGCAAAAGCACAGCTGAATCCGTTGGCGCACAGTGGTGTGTGTAGCGAAAAGATGTGAAAACACTTCTTAGAAAAATTAATTCAGTCAAATCACCGCTGCGACTGACTCGAATAATTTCCAACCAAGAGGCACAATTTACGACCGCATTTTACTGTAATTAAGCATCAATAGTCTCGGCTTATATGCGTATTCAAGCGACTTCACATAACCCCACGAAAAAAAGTCCAGCGGTGTAAATTCGCACGATCTTGGACGATGCGTGATAAAACGGTCAACTTAAAATGCGTGATAAAACGGTTTTCTTAAAAAAATTTATTCTTTCGTTGGCTGTATGGCATGTTGTGCCGTCTTATTGGAACCGTAGGTTGTCCATATCAACATTCTCCAATTTCGATACGAAAAAGTAATTAATCATGGCTCATCATGTATACCACATTGACCTTAACATTATGGTCGGCTTTAGTGACTTTTTGAGAATTTAAGGGCATCTCAATATATATATTATATAATATATTATAGCTTGTGGATTATCACATTTCATCGTTGGATTTTGTAACACCGCGAACCAAGATACTTCCGTAGAGTAAACGTGGTGTGAAGCCGCACCGCATTAAGCAGTATTTTTGACGAAGCTTTAATACATACATAGGTATATATGTTTTAAAGAGGTCTGAGAGTCTAAGAAAAAATACGGCCAAAAATCACTAGAATCTGGAGCCACGGATAAAAAGTATAGAAATAAAAAAAATGTACAGTCGACAACAAGCTTTTTAGATTTGGGTGGAAAATCCAAAATGCGATTTGTTATGGTTTTATCAATATCGATACTGTAAGCACCACTGATCGCTGTTTCCAAAAAGTTAGTTAAATCAGCTGTTTTGTAGAATTATAATGTTTTTGAAAGATTTTAGGGACTGCCACTCTTTTTGGCTTGAGATCATACTCTGTTAAGTGTCATACAAAAGTATGTTCCTATATTTATAAAAAACTAGATGCTTCATATTGATACCATGGTCTTGAAAGCAAAAGCTGTCCTCAGTTTTGTTAAACGTTGGTCTAAAGAATTTAGAGATCCGTATATTACTAAAACACTTTATACAACTTTGGTTAGACCTATATTGGAATATGGCTCTGTGGTATGGAACCCTAGCTACCAAATCCATTCTGACAAGTTAGAGTCGGTTCAAAAACAATTTTTACTTTTCGCCTTAGCGCATTTCCGATGGGATGCTAGGGTAAGTCTACCTCCATACATTAGTCGTTTAAAACTTATTAATCTACCTACACTTTCTAGTCGTAGGGAAATGCTTGGCATAACATTCTTAGTGAAACTTTTGAATGGAACTGTTTGCAGTTCTTTTCTCCTGTCTGAAATTAAATTTAATATCCCGGTTCGCCTTTCGATGCAGTTTAGACCTTTACTGCTAAAATCCTGTAGATCAAATTTTGAACTAAACGAGCCATTCCGCCGTATATGTCATGATTTTAATTCTCATTCCAGCACATTTGACTTATCTGACTCACTTTTCAAAATTAAAAAGACTTTATTGTTTTCTCTTAATAAATGAAAATGTAACAATTTATTATATTGTAACTTTAGATCTTAGCAATTTTAAATTTAATAGTCGAAATAGTGGATACCTTTTGATAAGAATTTTATTTACTGAACTCTTGAGGACATAGGGTACATTATTTTTAGCTTTAGCAACGCCGGAGTACATCAAAATTTTATATACATATAATTTAACTGTAAATGGACAAAGCATTCCTTATCTAAATGTAGACCGCAAAATTCCAAGCACTGACTTTGCACTTTTTTGATAGTTACCGTGAACAGTAGTTGCAGCAAAGACGCTTTGCTCAGTATATTTGCAGTTGGTTTGAATTTTCGAGGTTTTATTTTTATTAATTCATGTTTTGACTTTATTTTAGAATGTATCGGGCAATGTAATCTGTCCTTAAACTCCTGACAGCAATATTCATGCCTTCTCAAACGATTGATTGTTATCGCGTGAATATTGCAGCGACTGATAAATGGCCAGATCGGTGATTGATAATGCCGGATATCATTGCTACGGTTAGTTTCTGTCATATTCTTCAAATGCTTTTTTCTACTATGGAGTATAACATATCTCTTTGTAAGAAATAGTCTGCAACTATATAATATAACTTTATATGGTTGGATCAATATATGGCTACCTTTCCGAAATGGATTTTTCGAAATTACGTATTGTGCTTACAAATGTTCTGATGAATATTCTTAAATATTTATCTTTTGGGATAGAAACCCTTAAGCTTATTTTGACATGAGAACACGGACTTTAAACTCAAAATAAAAAAAATAATAAATTTATAATTAATTTTTATTTGTATAAGTTTTTGTCGCAATAAATCATTGAATTGACACACTGTGCAACAGTTGCTTACAATAAAGTCGAATGAAACGTTCTGCACCGAGGCAGTGTGAAGCTCATCATTTAGTCGGTCATCGGCGATACGCGTGCGTAGTAATAGTATTTAGCGATTAGCGCGCAGCATTAGTAGCTCCGCGTGTTATAACGAAGGACGATCATTAGTGCTTGAGTAGAAACGCGTAAATTGAGTTATACGAACTTAAAAGGCGTATTGGCACATGCGCGTTGTGAAATAATGTGAATATCAACTGAACTGAAAAGAAATAATAATTATCTATAGTATTGATTGATTGATTGCATAACAAAAGGTGTTTGTGCTCTGACAGTGTAATATTTGTGTTTAAACTTTATTACCAATAAACTACTTACTTCAAAATAAGAATTATAAAACAATGAGTTTTACGTTGCTACCGACTAACGCCTATCATGTACGCCCCACTTGCTCGCCATTTCGCGTGCAGTTGCACATACTATTTGGTTTTGTGTTGGGTTTTCTGATGGCGCTAGGCACACTACTGCTATATAATCACTATCAAATGGAGAGCGTACAACAGCGGCAACACACTACTGCCACCGAGTACTGGCAAACGGGTTACATGACGGCCTTGCAGGAGGTGGCCACCGAGGCCGATACGTTGCAACAACAGCTCAACGAGCGGGTGCGTGTGCTATGCATGGTGTTGACATCGCCTAGCCAGCATGTGAGTCATGCGCAACATGTGAAAGCCACTTGGGGCAGACGTTGCACGCGTTTGATATTCTTGAGCAGCGAGAAGGATGAGGAGTTGGGCGCTGTGGCAGTTGTGGAAAGTGAGGCGGACACTTATGATGATTTGTGGAATAAGACACGCGAGGGATTTCGCTATGTGTACGAACGTTATTTGGAAGACTATGATTGGTTCGTCAAGGCGGACGATGATACGTGAGTGAGTTTAAATATAGCGTTATATTGCATAAGAGAGATTTGTAGTGCATTGTCAATACGAATACTTGTGGTGTCAAATTTAATACCAAACAATAAATTTAATAATTTATTTTTAAGGAAAAGGAAGAATTATTCTTCGTGACTATATATATATCAGAATATTGGTCGAACACTTTTTTTAAAACAAAAAACTTCAAAGACAGCAAATGAATCAGCTATATTTTAACATAACGTACATATGTACACTGTTGCAGCCAGCTTCACCTTAAATCAATATAACATCATTTGTATATTATCGGCTGCTGATGAGCTGAGAGAACAAGCTATATAAATTTTAAAGAATTTGTACTGCACATTTTTGAAGTAGTTATTTGGCAAAAATGCCAAGAGGTGGAATTGACAACACATGCAATGTATCAAGGGCTTAAGAATAGTAAAATTATTACGATTTAAATGAAAGATCCACGATTCGTTTGACAAGAACTTATTAAAGTTGAACTCGAATTTTCACCGAAATTAATTTTCTTAAAAACAGCTAATGAGGTTTCAACAGCTGATTAAAATTCCGATATTTGTTTACAAAGTGACATTTTTAATATCATTAAAGTAGTCAAAAAGTTGAACACAGCTAGCTTACTAGGTTAGGGCTACTAAAGTTTGTGCTTGTCAGTCAAGTTGGATTAAAGTGTCAGCATATTTTTTCATTTGAAAGTTGGTTGCCATTTGAGTAATTTTCTTCGTTATAGTGGAGAGGTATGTTATGACTGTCAATTTAGATGAGATTTTCTTCATGGAGTATAAGTTGTATAGAACTATAATGAAGAAAAATTAAAGAAATTTAATTTCAAACGAGATTTTGAGAGAGTATGAAAAATTTCGGTTGTACGAGTAGTAAAAAGGCGCTGAAGGTCTTGACTACCTTTTTCTTGCTCTGCTTAACTCGGAAACAACAAGGCTCAAGC